TACTGCATGTTCACATCAGGGACGTGCAGTATGGTGCGTGCTATTTGAGGCATTCCACCTGCCCACCCCAGCCCACTGATACTCCACCCCAGCCCACCGCCCCCCAATCTGGTCACCAAGCTATATGTGAAGGGAGGGAGAAGGGAGGAGACAGGGAGAAGGGAGGAGACAGGGAGAAGGGAGGAGACAGGGAGGAGCCGCCCTGCCCCTCACTTGCTCATCACTGGTGAGGCACCGAGATCAATGTAAGCTGCTGTGTAACCTAACTTAGCTATCAAAAGCCAGATGCAGCGCCGCCTGTAATTAACAGGCAGTGCTCCGTCCATAACAGGTTACACAGCAGGGAGGATGTGTGAATGGAGAAAAATCTGTCAGCTTCAGACTTAAAGCTGACAGTTTTTTCTTCAATAATAGTAGGTGAGGCTCTGTCTCACCTGTCTCTCCTGACCGCATGTCCCTGGTTCACATCAGCCCTTGCCCTCAAGTAGCTTAGAATCTAAGGTCCCTAACCCACATCCATACATACCAGGGCTGATTTATACTGAAGCCAATTAACCTTCCAGCATGTCTTTGGAGTGTGTGGGGAAAACGGAGGACCTGGAGGAAACCCATGCAAGCACAGGGAGAACATGCAAACACCATGCAAACAGTGTCCTGACTGGGATTCAAACCAGGCAGCCCCAATGCTGCAATGATGAGGTGCCACTGCACACAAACAGATGAAGATTAGATCACACCAGCCTTCACATTAAATTAACTATATTGAAAATAATGTATTACTTACTAGTAAAAAAAAGTTAATGGAAAGATCTGAATCCACAGCGAAATACTAGCTGGTCATATGCCACTGGGAAGGTAACTTCAAACCAATCCAAAAAAATCATAGGCAGAGGAATGGTGGTACCTTTTTCTGTCTGCCTGTCACCAGTGAAAACTTAAACCCTTCATAGGAGTCACGTGAGTGATAAACAACTTAATTCAGAAGATGTCATAAGCAGGCAGCTCAGCGGATCAGTGGACACAAGGGACACCCATTCAACTGGCTGCTCCAGACTGCTTTAGCTTTTGCCTGGCCCCTGCTTAGGAGCTGTCTGTTCAAGGTCAGTGCTGAACCCAGGTAAGCAATGTTATCGGGGAAGAGGTACAAATGATGCAACAAAGTAGTTATAAAAATAAAATATACATAAAAGTTCTATCTTATCTCCACTTACGAATCTAAACCCCTCACTTCTAATACAACAATGTTGTTTTATTTTGACAGGAACTGTTAATATTTTTTGGATAACTGGATGCATTTTAAAAGGCTCACAGCATCATTTTGTTGCCAGCTTAATGACTCATATTAACCATAGCAATTATAACTTCATACCTATTTATTACTGAAAAGGGAAAATCTGTACCTCACATATATATTCATGTTTATTTATTCTGCAAAAAAAAATCTTAAAATCATTTTGTCTTATATTTTGGTGATTAGAAGGGCTGAATTGCCTAAATGTAGTTTTAAAACAAATATTTTTTATATATGTGTGATGTGTATTTCTAAGGACACTATTGGAATGGGCACAAATATGTCTCAGAAAACCAGTTTAAAATTGAACAGATATTCGATTATATATTTGTAATGGTAATGTAAAGGTATGCATCTGTGGGAAACTTAAAATAACGAAGTAAACTATAAATAAGAGTGCATTATGTGATAGGAAATACTAACTTACAAAATTCCACAAAATGTATATACAAAATAATAGTGAATTTTATAAGCCGTTATTCTCAATTTTCTTATAAGTGGTGCAAAAATGATTTTTTAAATGATATGCTACTTCAATACATTAATCCAGGCTCTAATCCTTAGGACTGAAACCCTTTTGCCCCTTGACGTATCATGCTATTTTATTATTTTGCTTTCCATAAAGCTTTGGCAATACAATTTCTGCAAAGCATTCCTTTAATTTCTTCTTTCACAAATGTTCCCTTATAAACCTTTCCTCTACATAGCAATTTTATTAATAACAGTATCTCAATCCTGACGTATTTGGGATACTCACTGTACGCCACAATTAGCATTGTGGATGGGTTGCTTTGGTTGCTGATATGTTTATTTTCCCCAATGTAGCAAATGCTATTATAAAACAAAAGCCGCATTTCAAATTTTCACTTATCTCCGGAAAATGTTTTATGCATGAGGCCAATATAGGAAAATCACATTTTTAGCTGAATACTAAATGTACGGGTGGGAATTACGCTCTTAGCTATTTGCTTTATAATATGCTTTGCAGTGGTTTTGCTTGGTTTTCATTGAGTGGTTTCATGTTTTGTGAGGCAAAACTATATGCAGATCGTCCATTTGTTAAAGGTAATGTGACAAAATATATAAGGAAGCATAACAAAACACACTATACCAAATGGCAGACATTTATATTTAAAGGTTAGAACCTGGAAAATTAGCTCACTTTAAATACTGTAAGAATAGCTCAATAGCATTCAACCATACTCAGACTTCCACTATAAAGCTAAAGTCAGTTTGTCTGATTGATTGAGGTTGGGACACAGTATTTAGGTGAGCTAATATCATTATTATTATCATCATCATCATCATTATTATTCTTATACAGGATTTATATAGCACCAATGGTTTGTGCAGTGCTTTACAATATAAGGAAGACATTACAGTTACACAATACAATTCAAAACAAGATGGGTAAGAGGTCCTTGTCCTATTACAGTATTTAAGACAATCACCTTAAGCTTTCAAATGAAAATAATTTGTAGAATAAGTTGCATGTGAGTTTATTGTATGAGTTCCTCTTGTACATAAAAGCAGAGACTTGGCTTACAAGAAAAGGTAAAGTAGTCTTTAAGTCAGTTAGCTAATCCCTGATGACACAGACATCTATTCACTTTCCCAGCTTATAATAATATGTTAGCAGGATTTACTCTGAAGAGCTGACAAGATAGGGGTTTGAAACCAAGTGCAGGCAAAAGATGAAATGAAACTAACTAAAAACATGAAACATGCTAATGATATATATGTGCAAAGTTTTTTTTTGTTTTTTTTAAATTGGATAGAATTTCTGTTCCAAACCAAAAATGTTAAAACAGTATTTTTGATTGCACATGAGTGGACGATGGAAGTCAGCAGGGCTTCACCTCATTCACTAATTTAAGGGAAAATTCCTTTGAAAAGTGAACAGACTATTTGCCTTTAGTAAATCAACCCCATGGTGTCTGCCACAGTAGCAATCCAGCCTTCCCGCCCCCTCCCTGCACCTTTTTATTATTTCATTCCAACTATTTTTTTGCCAATCTGGTGACACCATGTGTCCTTTGTCTTCTTGTGGTGGCACTGAAGGGCGCTCACGTAGTGATGTGTAAGTGCTGTTTAGTGCAGCAGTACTGTGAACCCAGGCGCACCTCCAGGGGCTATGTCCACTAAACTGTCAGCCATGTTATACATGAACACTTCTTTTCAAGCCTATCTAAACTCCACCTCACCTGCTAAAATGAGTGTGAGTACGTTTACACATGTGCAGGCTAGAAAACCTTTTGCGTTAGTTGATGTTGGCTTTGGCATCATCCAACAGTTGTTAAAATAATTATGTTTATCATTACCTATAGTAAGTAAGATTGGTTGCATGGGAGGTGAAGTTGTTGGGGTTGTTTTATTAAAGATTGTTCTCTTTGCAAAGTGGACATTCAATGAGTTCAGCAAATAAGGTGCACTGATTTTAAATTACAATTATGTGCAAATGGAAATAAAAAAAGTTGCTTGAACGTGATTGGATAATTGCAGTAAGTACAGCTATACTTTATTTACTAGGCTCATCAAACATTCAGTTTGTAAAGTTAGCATGCGCTTCTAAGGGAGCAGGCTCTTGTTTTTTTAGTAAATCAACCCCCCTGGACTCAAAGGGGCTGATTTTACTAAAGGCAAATAGGCTCTTCACTTTGCAAGGGACTGTTCTAGGGATGCACCGATACCGGTTTTTCAGTATCGAGTACCGATATTTATATTTCGGTACTCGCCGATACGGAGTACCGGTACTGGTATTTCTGCTAGCATGGAGCCAGCTTTCCAGGCAATCAAGAAGCCGGGCGGCGAGTCATAACCCGTCGCCCGGCTTCCTGATTGGTTGAGATGTCTGCTCCATGTTCCCTCGCGGCACTGCCGGTCAGAGGAAATCTCCCTCTGACCGGAATTTCCGGTATCAGGGGTAAGTAACAGAGCATTCAGGAAAGCACGAGTACTCACCCAAATACTCAGTATCGGCACTAATACCATTACAAGTATCGGCATCGGTGCATCCCTAGACTTTTCCCTTAGCTTAGTGAATGAGGTGAAGCTCTGTGGACTTCCATCATCCAATCATGTGCAAGCAAAAATACTTTTTTTTTTTACATTCTCCATGCACGTGACCGGGTATTCTTTGCAAAATGAATGTTCACCACATTCACTAAGCTAAGGGAATATTTCCTGGATATTCATCCAAAGTGAAGAGTCTATTCTGCTTTAGTAAATCAACCCCACAGTGTTTTACAACACTGCTCATAGGCTTTTAAACAATAATACACTTGCAAAACGTAAGCTGTCTTTTGAATTGAATAAAAATACATCTCTAAATTCATAAACATGTGAACCAATTCATACCTCGAGTCTGAAAGTATAAGCCTTGTTTTCTCAAATAGAAATTTTCCAAATATATTTGCTATAGGAAAGGTGTCCACCTGGGGTGGAATTAGCAAAACATTATACTATTTATCCTCCTGTAAGCATTATGCATGCTGATAATACCCTTATTATACAAATGAACAAAATGCACCCATGCTTTAAAATTATAGGCTGGAAATGTATTTGAATATTCATAGGCTACAATGGATTTTTAAATAGATATGGTGAATTTGTCTTCTGACACTGTTGTGCCCTCTGAAGTGTGAGTCACTGAACCGCTGTTTATAAAGCATGTTTGAGCAGGTACTTACTCACCTTCAACTGTTTTTTTGCTTGATACAGAGTCTGAGAAAGAGAGCGAAAGGGAGACCTAGAGGCTGCCATGTCCGTCCTCAATGCAGTACCGTTCATGAAACCAATCCACATTCGGTCACCTCACCAGAGACGGCACACACTGCCTGCCAGTGAATTCCGTTGCCTTTCTCCAGAAGACGCAGTCAGTGTTTTTGAAATAGAGAGAGAAGGTAAGTGCCGCGATTATGGAAAAATTACACTTTAATATGGGCCATTACAGGTATATATGGATGAATTATTTAGGCAGTGTAAAGAGTAATATTGATGTGCAAATGACTGTAGTCCTTCCCAACTGAGTACATATCAATGTAAGTAGCTGCTTGGACAGCCAGGGTCTCAATGTATGTTGCAGAGCTGCTATCAGCAGCTCTTTTATCTCACCCATTGTCAAATACTGGTGGTTCAATTAATGCTTGTTAAAGGAGAACTATGAGGTGAGTGACTTTCACTCAACCTCATAGTTCGAGCCGACGTGTGACAATTAAACTGTCACACGTCGGCTCAAAAGATCGGGAAGTGAGCGAACACATACCGTCGCTCGCTCACTTCTCGATCATGTCCCTGCAGAGAGCCGTGATTGTCACTCACGGCTCCCTGCAGGGATTCCCCCCTCCCTGCTCCGATCCTCCAGAGCTGACTGGCGGAACGGACGGGGGAGGGGCGGGTACAACTGGCTCTGCCTCTAGATAGGCAGAGCCAGCTGTCAATCATGCAGCTGGGTGGATCTCGACAGTAATGTCGTGATCCGTCCCGGCAGCGGCTGTCTCAGTATACCGCGAGCTGTAGCTCGTGATATACTGAGCTTTGCGTCACGGGAGGACACTGGTTGATGTCCTCCCTTGACACTTAGGAGAACTATGGGGAAAAACACTGACCCCATAGTTCTCCTTTAAGATGTAAATTAATGTTGATACATTGTAGTTAGATGTGGCTGTCAGCTGCAGCTAATTACACAGACAACAGAAGAAAGGTGTATTTTTTTTCTAAACAAAGTATTTTCCTATCACGCTTCTTTTGCACGGCTGTTCCAATCAGATCCACTTGTCAATTTTTCCGTTGGACCTGTTTGGAAGCTCAATGTTAGTCTCTGGGCCGGTAGATGTAAATGGATGCACATCTATTTACATCCCATTACCTCTAAATCCGTCTAGGTCCCAAAAACAAAAACGGAAAAGATTTCCCTTTTTTGGACCTAAATGTGATGGATCGGTGGTGAAAGGATGTAAGTGGATGCATGCCTGTTTACACCCGCCTGTCTATAGACTTAAAATGGGGCAGTTAAGGTACTTTTTTTTTTTCCTCCATCACAAGATGGAGGAGAAAACTGAACAGACACAAAAGTGACATCTAATCCTTTCTGATTTAATAGGAAATTCTGTTAATGGATCCCCTGTTGATTGGAATGGCCGCCGCCTATGTGAAAGGTGCCTTAGGCCCTTATTAAAGTGACACTAAACTCAGGAGTTAAACCTTAAAAACGCACTCAAGTACCTTAACTAGTAACAATGCAGTAGCTTATTTGTGTATCACTCAGTTGTAGATCCCCAAATCATCTCATAATTTGTCCTTCCTTCTAGAGTGGCTATTTCTGTTGCCTATGGTTCCTGTGTGTGTTGTACAGTAGCCACCGCCCCAAGCTCCCTCCCGTGATGGACTACAATCTCACATTTAAAAGAACACCTTCATTTAATTTAAAAATAAATGTGCACTTTGTACCAAAAATACAATCTCGGTCATTAGGGTTGCACAGATACCAAGTACAGTACTCGGTACAAGTACGAGTACATGTCCCGATACTTTTGAGTTCCCAGACTACACTAGAGAAAAATTCAAAAGTTAGGAGGCCGGTGTCATGTGTAAGGAGCACACGGAGCTCCTGGGATTTGTACATCTCTGTTTTACTGTACGATTTTGTTTTTATAAATATAAATAAAGGGATGCACAGATACCAGTTTTGTGAGTACGAGTACTGGTACTTGCCGAGTACTTACAAGTACGAGTACTGATACATTTTTGTTTATTGTCATGTGACAGTTTTTCTAAAACAATACAGACTAATGATATCAGGACAGTGGTGGAGCGCCAGAGCCAGGTCCTAGCTGCAACCGCTGCAGCCCTGGTAGTTCTCATGAAAATGCCAAGTATCGCCACTGGTACTTGAAAAGTATCTGTGCATCCCTATCGGTCATAGATGCGGCAAATTGCAGAATAAGATTTGCACTGGATGGTAACATTAGTTTTGTAATTATCCCTGGTCAAACTGTGAAAATGTAGTTTTGTTTTGTTTTACTTATTTTTGCCTTTAATAGGAAATTAAATAAGTCACCAAAAGAAAGCTTTGCTTGTTCAAAGTAGATAATGGAGGGAATTGATCAAAATTGGAGCAGACAGATTCTGGAGAAGTTGCCCATAGTAACCGGTTAGCTTCTATCTTCACTTTGTTCAGTTAAGCTTGGTTGCCATTGACAACTGCTCCAGATTCTGTCTGCTCCAGCTTTGATCAATTCCCCACTATAGATACCTCTCATCTAAAAGTGATAAAGTTATTGCCACATTATTAGGTCCTTAGCTAAAATGTAAAAATTATTCTGGTGCTTAACTGGTTAAAATAAATTTTTATTACACAATTGGTACATTTAATGGATGCCAAGAAAATTGAATACCACTTTTTAAACTTACACAGAAATGTAAACTGTTGCTATTAAGTAACTATTTGCACATTTTGTTCCTAAAATCATGCTTATATTGTAAAACAAAAAATACCCAGAGCCGGCTTAGAGAATTTTATAAATGATTGTTCGCAAAATAGCACAAAATTGCTGCTCTTCATTTTTGTATAAAATCCCAGAGAATATGAAAAAAAAAAACAGTTTAACTTGCACTTCAGAGTCCTCAGATAAATGGTTGTTAGGAGTGCAACATAGTGAACAAAACAAAATCCTCTAATACACAAGTCTTGGAATAAAGAATAAAGAGAACTGGACAAGGTAAAGAGCAGAACAACAAAGGGTGCAAAAGACCTTCATGCATTAAAACTCACAAAGTTTAATAAGAACAGAAATATTGCACTCACAATTCGAGAAAAGTGAAAATGCCTGAAGTGCCTGGGGAGATGATGGAATTCAACAGCCCTCTATGGCCAGCGGCAGGGTTGTATGTATGGGGGAGAGGGGGGGCTCCTAGCTCTCCACTAAGTGACTGGCCTGCCAAATGATACTGAGGGGCAGCATCCCTGCAGCTCAGAATGAGCCTTACTTCCAGGTAGTTGAGGTCGCTATGGAAATTTCAGGGTCTCTGCCCCCTTTGTCAAGCCACATGACAAAAATGCTGTTGCTCTCAGTGGGTCATTCATTTTGGCAGAAGAACAGGTCCTGCATAGTTGAAAGGAGCTTCTGTAGCCCTCAGAGGTCTTTAAAGCTCTAATTTCTCCCTCCTTTCTGCTTCCAATGCATTTTGCCAAAATAACAGAATTCTACCAATTTACCAAAATTTCGAGGAAAATAAAATTCTCACTGTTGCTCAACAAAATCTTAAAGTACATATAAAGGCTCCTGTATGACAGTCCTTAATATAGTTATTTTGTGATGCACAAGCTTTATAAAGTAAACAAAAAACTTTACTTTCCTTTCCCTGGACTGGGCCAAATGCTCCTTAATTTGTGTCTCATAAGCTTCCCGTCCCAGACACTGCAGCTCACACTGGGAGGGTTTCAGTAACAGAGGCAGTGCTGTCAGTCTAGAAAGCAGTGGGCAGGACTAGGTGTGGCCAGGTGTTGAATGACGGGCTATAATCTTGTGAATTAGCAATGACAATGCTTATAGCAACATCATCAACATCTTCTCATCCCACTGTAGTGTAATCAGCCTACACGTGAGTATCAACTCTGCTCTGAATTCAGCAGCAGCGCCGCATTGTTGCCACTCCATCACAGGAAGCTGCATTAGGTGGACTACTGGCAGGTATAACTGGTATTTGTGGAACTTTGTTGGAGGAAGACAAAACTGTAATTGCCAATTGCACTTATTATTAGTACGAAAGACTTACTATGATGTTGCTTGGCCATTGCTTGTTATATGCAGTACATTTCAAACACAGATGTCGGTATGTTCACTATATAATATCAGCCAGTCAATACATCTTGTTTAATGACTCTGATGACAGCTGTATGTACATTGCTGCTGGCAGTAAACCTGTCCAGTCGAGACACATCATGGCAGTGCTGACAGTTCGTCACCGAGGACGTTCTGTGAGAGTGTGATCAATATCATCTGCTTTATTTATACGCCACTATATATACATTCAGGCACCACTTGAATACTGTTAATATGTTTCCTTGCAAGGTTAGAGTGGCAGAACATTACAGGCAGATGAAAGCTACACAGCATTTTATAAACATATGGCAGCAACACTGGTATGCTGTAATCCTCGACCAACAAATTAAAAGAAATGGAATGTTTGCACAGTAAATCTTTAAAAGTCACTCCTGGCATTTTTTTTTTTTGTATTGGACAAAATAGAGAAAGAGTAAAACTGCTGTCACACTGTGTTGTGACATACACAATGGATGCTTCCATGTTCCTCTAATTTATCGTCCTTCTTTATTTTCAACACTGCCTGTCCTAGGGTGACAACACTCACACGCTGTACTGTAGCTATGGAGGAGCAGTGTTGTCTCTCTAGGATAGGAACACCTCCCTTTCTCTTCTTCTCTATAACATAGGTGAAAGGTGTCCTGTAGTCCACATAGAGAGCTGCAAACAATGCTAACAGTTAGCAGTCAGCAGAGTATACCACAAGTTATCAGTTCAGAAGATATCTTGCAGGATCAGGATTTTATTGCAAATATCGAACAGATGTAACAAACACTTTCAATGGCATTTTTATGCTTAAAAGCAAACTATAGGGAAAACATTTTTTTTCCCATAGTCCTCTTAAGGGTCAGGAGGACGTATACTAATGTCTTCCAAACATTGCTTTGGTGCATAAAGGTTATAGAGGTGTAGGAGTGGTTAATACTATTTCTTTGATAGCTTGGATCCAATGGAAATGTAAACTTCCGTTTATAAAAAGATTGATAAAAAAAAAAAACTAAACAACAAAATATTGGTAACTCAAATTACCACAGATTGGTTATACAACCGCGTGCAAAGAAGAATGAATAATCAGAAAAGCTGCCCCTGTGTTTCTTCCAGACACTTATAAATAAGGTCTAGATTTCTTAGAAGGTATTACAAGGCAATCTACAGCGAACCCGTGAGAATATAAATATAGATGCTTCATTGTGTATTTATAGATGCAGGAGTTGAAACTGTCACCTGGGCCCTTGCTTTACCAAGTAGTTAGCTGCTGAACCAGCCATTTAATCTGATCATCAGGGAATTTTTTTTAGCAACTTTGGAAGAGCGGGTTAGGGCACAGGATGCCCATGGGCTTGCAGACTCTAGAAAAGAGACAACAATTATTTTTCAACCTTTACAGATACTGAACCTTTTGCAATAATAAAAGTTTATTAGTTTTAAACAAGAACAGAGAGTAAACAAAAGGTGAGAATAGTCACTACTAGGTATATGCAATACACATTATACAAACAGCATATAGAGAATCAGTCAGTGCAAACATGTATTGCTCAAATTGTCTGTGAAGATGTGCTGTCAGTTCCTCCATGTGTTGCAGTTAATAAAGTTCATCAATCCATTCCTTAACAGAGGGAGGGAGAGTTGATTTCCAGAGCCATGGAATCACCATCCTCGCTGCTCACGGAGAGAGAACCCGGGAGCAGGGAACGGCAACTTCTGATTTTGGTTGAAGTTGGAGGCCCGCAACCCTTTCATATATCTCGAAAACCTGTGATCAGAAGGGAAATACCAAGGGACACGACCAACAAATGTGAAGCAGAGTTCCCCTATCCGATTTTTCAGCTTGAGTATAGTTTCCTGAAAGAACAGGACATAATTAGGAGCATAGAGATTAGAAATATCTTAAGAAAGGTGAACCTCCAAATATTTGATGGAACCATGGGCCTACTGAAAGGGAAAGGACGCTGAAAGGAAACTGTGCTCGGAGGGTAGCATGGTTATATTCAAAGCTACCAATTTGTGCGTGTTTAAAGTACTTAATCAACTAAAGATTTAGAATTTCTGCAGTATAGAGGGGAGCGCTATCCTAGGGTTGGAAACATATAGAAGCAGATCATCTGCATAGAGACCTGCCTTATGGTGTTGGTCACTTATAGGTACACCCTGTATAGATGGGTTTGCACGGATGGCCCTTGCCAGATGTTGCATGGCCAGAACATATAGGAGTGGAGAGAGGAGGCATTCCTTATGTGTTGTGAATAAACACCATATCTGATAGGATCTCAATGATCAGAATTCAAGCTGATGGCTGGTCATACAGGGTCTTCATCATTTCTAGCAAAGAGCAAGGCACACCAATTTATCTGAGAATGACAAAAAAAAGTCGAATCCAGTCTGTCAAATGTCTTTTCGGCATCAACAGACATATGGCACAATGACTGTTTATGTTTAACAGCAAAGTCTATAAGAGAGACAGTATGAATTGTGTCGTCCTGGGCCGATCTGAATGGGACAAACCCAACCTGGTCTGGGTGGATCAATGACGGAAATTGGGGCTGCAGTTGTTGAGAGAAGTTTAGCAAAGATTTTCAGATCTGTACTGATCAGAGAAATTGGGTGAAACCTAGAGCACAATGGGGTGTCCCTACCTTGGACAGAATGTGAGCTACCTGGTCCTGAGGCCTGAGGGGGAAAGAGACAGATATCAGAAATTGTGTTGAATGCAGTTGTGAAAACAGGAGATAAGATTTCCACAAATCATTTCATAAAAGGCATTTATTAATCCATCTGGTCCAGGGCTTTTCTCCTTGGGGAAAAAGGGAAATAATAACCTGCCGTATTTTCAAAGTAGAGAACGGAGTAAAAAGAGAGGGTAGCACAGAATCCAGAAAAGTGGGCAATATAGTGACCTCAATGTAGGCCACAAGAGGAGGTGGATCGGCCAGGACAGTTAGTGGAGATGTAGAGGGAGGATGGGACGAATTATTATAAAGAATCGAGTGATAGTCCTGAAAAGTCCCTGCAACGTTTGAAGCATTATGCTCCCCCTGGCCTCGGGAAGTTTGCATTTTGGAGATAAATGTGCGAGATTTTTTTTAATCCGAATGGATGTAGCCAGTAACCTGCTACATTTGTTCCCATATTCATGAATAAGTCTATTCAAACAGTCTCAATGTTTGACGTATGATTGATCAAGGAGCGATTGTAGCCCCCTCTGCTTGAGCAGTAGAGACGGATAATCTGCAGGGTTATGGCCCTTCTTGTAGGATTGTTTAAGGGTTTGAATGTCCAAAAACAGGGAAGATATTTGCAGGGATTTCACTTTTTCAAGACAATAACACAATTCAAGGCTTCCCATTCACCAGAGGGCAGGGTCTAAAACCATATCTGCATAATCAGAAAGGAGGCATGAAAGGGAAAAACGTGGCCAAATATCCGACATTTCACCAGCACATACAGTATCTGCCTTCCGAATCCCAAATCTCTTGGATGAAATTAAAAGGCAAAGAGGGACGGATTTCCATTGCCACTCCTCGTCTGTTCCTCATAGGATCATTATTCAGGAACCAACTTCAAAAGTGTTTTGTAGGCACCACATGAACTGACGTAGATTTAAAATGGGTCTCCAGCAGAAAGACTATTTGAGCATGTTGTTTGTGCATATAGTATAATATCTGACATCACTTTTTGGGGTGATTAAATTAAATTACATTCAGGGAGCCAATTTGTAAACGTGCTATTGGAACAAAGAATTTTCAAGCAGTGAGAGCTGGAAGCCAGTGGGCAATCAGGAAAGGGAAGAAGAAAAAAAGCAAGAACAGGGAGCAGAAAGAAAAGCAGAAACAGAAAGCCACAACGAACAGAACAAAAGGACAACAGGGCCATAACCTGGAAAGGTTGATAGTGAACCTGGCGAAGCTGACCTGGCATTCTGGGAAATGATCTCCTGGCTGTGAGATACTAAATGGTCCAGAAACTGACTCCTTGGAGAGTCACCATTCTTCAGTCAAAGACCACATTTCTGCACTGCTTCTCAGGCTACTTATTCAGACTGAGGTTCCTACATGATATCCTAATCCCCACACTCCACATACTAGGCCTCAAACCCAGGCCTTAGTCCAAGCACATGGTCACCCTCCTCAATCAGTAGGCCTAAGAGGACCAAACAAACATCATCCCCTGCCATGCAGGAGGATCAGGGGAAGACTGACCTCCCATGGTCGAATTGTTGGGGAGTGCCAGGGACACTCCCCAACAATTCAGCTCAAACAATTCATCCCCACACAGCTACCTCCTCATTGTATCACTTCTTGAATTGTATTGTGATTGTAATGTCTTCCTTATATTGTGAAGCGCTGCGCAAACTGTTGGCGCTATATAAATCCTGTATAATAATAATAACAGCAGGCAGAAGCCAAAAATCACCAGAGCTCAGGTGAATCTCCACAAAGTTGAACTATCAATCAGATTCAGGCAGCCAACTTCTACATTTACATAGACACTAGGATGGCTAAAAAAGGGTTGATATTTTATGCTTTTTCCAGCTCATTAACTTATGAGGTAGTGAAGGATGACAACTCTGATGTCTGTCTCTTTAAACGCCAAGTTGGCCTTGGCAGCCCCCATATTTCTGTCCTAACCAGTTCATTTTATTTAAGATGCGTGAAATGTTCATGTTTGCTTCTGTCTTTCCAGCCTTTATATCTGTGTCCGGGGAATGTCCCCTTCATCTGGATGAAGTTCGACAATTCCTGACCCTGTGCCCCGAGCTGTCACTGGGATGGTTTGAAGAGGGGAGACTTGTGGCATTTATTATCGGCTCCTTATGGGATCAGGACAAGCTCAGTCAGGTAATAATGATGAGGAGAGTATAGGATGCTGTGGATGATTTCGTTGGCCAGTCAGCATTTACAGAGGACATTTAATGCCATCTTTGACTTCAGAGTTACAAAACTGGAGGAAAGAGTCTATGTCTCACGTTGTTTAAATTAGCCATTGATTCACCTGCCGTAAATGTTTGGTGAATGTCACATTCGCTGCTTTATAAATATGGCCCATAGTATACAGAAAGCCCACTATCTTGGCATGGTCATATAAGCAACATTTAAGATTTTTATCACGTTTAAAAAAATCATAGCTGGCTTCAAACTGAAACAGAAAGCTCATTAAAACAGAATTGAAGCCAAAACGTTTATTTGTAGTTTTGGATAGAGTAAGGGAGGGTTATAACTAGGGATGCCCCGATAAATCGGCCGCCAAAACATATCGGCAAAAAAATTGCACTTTTGGCATCATGCCGAAAGTGCAATTTTCTGGCCGATACAGCGGTGCATCCATCTTTCTCTCCTCGCCGCTGGGCACTGCTCTGTGTCTCAGCGGGGAGGAGAGAAACTGTGACAGGCTGCCAAGCGAAGCGGGAGGAGAGCGTTGTGAGCGGCCGGCGTCTCTCCTCCCACACCGCTCAGCCTCCTATCTCAGATCGGCACAGTGATGTGTGGGCAAAGACAGTCAGCACTGTCACAGCAGGCTGAGCTCCGCTCGCTCAGCCTGCTGTGACAGCGTGTCAGGAAAGTGAGCGAGGCCCAAACACTCAGTGATCAGTGATCAGTGATCGCTGAGTGTTTGTAAATAATTGAAGACATAGTATGGTTAATATATCCTCAATTATGAATGAATAGGAAGTAATCTACATCACCTCCTGTTCATTCATAATTGTGGTTATAGTAAACACACAATGTTCTCATGTTATGAAAGAACAGGAAGACTCGGTATAGAGGATTCCTGTTCACTTATAACAGGGGCTGCAGAAAAAGAGATTGAGGACTCAGGGTCCTCAATCTCTTTTTCTATTTTAAATGGGAAATATCAGGGGTCTGTTTAGACCCCTGATATTTCCCTGAAGCCCCTAAAAGTAAAGTAAAAAAAAATGAATCAATAAATAAAAATAAATATAAAAAAATTAAAACGTTTATAAAAAATAAAATATTCGAACAATAGGAAAAAGTTAAAATAAAAAACATTTTCGGTTTCGGCCTTACATTTTTTTTTTATTTTGGTTTCGTTCCGGTTTTGAAATTTTCATTTCGGTGCATCTCTAGTTATAACCAATTGCACTTTAACATTAAAGCAAACCTTGCCATTCCACCAAGCATGTAAACATAATGGTACCCTTACAATGTGCTCCATCAGCTGTCACATGCTCTCCTTCTCCACCCACAATGTGCAGCCTTAGTAGACTAAACGTCACGATTTATATGGGAAGTGGCATTTGACTGTTACATGATGGGCAGAGGTGTCTTGACACATGGGCTGGGATTGACAGCCTGAAATGGCTTCTCTGTGAGGCTAGATTAGGCATCCAAAAGGGGATGTCCTGGGGTCTGACTTAAAATGTATGTCTAGCCATGTTTTTTTTTTTTTTTAAAGAGTGGGGATAGATTAAGATCCCTGTCAAGTTTATACTGCTATTGGTTAGGGAGATGTCTCTTCATTTATTGTCACAGTTTTATTCGACAGGAAATGCAACAGGAATACAGACAGCAATAATAAAAAAAAAAACCTAATATGGGTTCTAGCCTTCTTCTGGTCTTGTGACACTGATTTCTAAAAATAATTGCATAGCTTATTTGTCCAGTGAAACTCTGTATATTGATTTGATGCAAGTTAATCAGGTGCTGTGAGACTGGGGCAAAATGGAATGTTCTTAGCAGGGCTATCCTTTATTTTTGTACACTGATTACTTGCCAGTCTTTGTTTGCTACCTAAAAAGTTCATGGTGGCAGTATACATTGGTAATTGGCACCTTTAAATTTTTTTTAATGAAATTTGAAATTTCCTTAGTAATGATTTGCTTCTGTTATGTTTCCATAATCATCAACCAGTTACATATGTTGTCTCTTTTTCTACAGGATGCCCTCACCCTGCACAAGCCCCACGGTTCTTCTGTCCACATTCACGTCCTTGCCGTACATCGCACATTCCGGCAACAAGGCAAGGGCTCCATCCTGCTGTGGCGTTACCTGCAATACCTGCGCTGTCTGCCTTTTGCACGGCGGGCCGTGCTCATGTGCGAAGATTTTTTGGTTCCCTTCTACTCCAAATGTGGCTTCAAAGCTGTGGGGCCATGTGACATTACCGTCGGACCCATGGCTTTTATCGAGATGCAGTGTCCGGTCAGAGGCCATGCCTTTATGCGTAGAAATAGTGGATGCTAGCCCCCTTCACTTCAAACTCCAAGGCCATTAATTCCTTTGCTTATCAAATGTTGTCACACATTGCAGCGCAATATGATTCAACCTCTGTGCTACCAAAGGGATTAATAAACTCATCGCAGGGGCTGTCCTTAGCATTCCATTCATCGAAAGCTTAAGGTATGTAAAGCCAAAATCAATTTTTTTAGTACGGTTGGCATAATGCCTCACTGTGTAGTTTTCTCAAGCAAATAATTTTTTGTGCATGTGTTGCAAAGTTTCTTACCTGGAGATCCTGCCAGTAACAGCACTTCCTGTTGCAGGATGACAACGCTAAGTTACTGCCTCATAATTAGCAGTAGTGTCGTCAGCCTGCCGTGCAAACTCGTTTAGATATCAGTTGGGTTGCCTATCCCATAGATCTGGTTTGCATCCCGAAGCCAACTGAAGGGGGCTGCTGCTAATTGTGAGTTGTCAGCCTCAAACAGGAAGTGCTGGTACTGGTAGGATCTCTCAGTAAGAAACTTTGCAACAGATTCACAAAGAACTATTTGATTAAGAAAATGTTATAGAGTGGGACATGATGCCAAACATACTGGGAAACAGATTTGGGGTTTATATACTCTTCAAATCTGGTAATTTACATCAGTTGAGTCCCCTGAAGGGAAATTAAGTCCCTGTGTACCTCTTGTATAAAATGTCACTCTCCTCCTTCCCAATTTCACTGTACAAATCCCTATCAATTCACTGTCACAATAAATATGTATTTTCTGTTTGTTTTTTGGCTTTTTTATGCTTGTCTTATTTTAAGCTCCGTTTTTCATACAAGATACATCTACAAAAATGTACTATGGGGCAACAAACTGACAATAGAATGCAGCAAACTGTTGCTTTGGGGACTGCCAGTACCAGTGTCATCCACTCTTCTACAAGTGCCAGATATTTTCTGGGTGTTTCTTCTGTCCTGGAACGCCAGGGCTTTCAAAAATGGGATAGGTAGTCAGGAAATCAGATGGGTAATTAACACCCCTTGAAATCCTGAAGGTGCTCCTTGGAATTGGCTAGGCTGCAAAAAAGTCTCACACGTGTGGTATCTCCATACTGGGGAGAAATAGCAGAATCTGTGGTGTAATTCTAAGTATGCCCAATATGTGTGTAGAAATATCTTCTGAAGAGAAGTTAATGTATAGTGAGCAGGAACAAATACGGGTACAGGGTATAGAGGTGGGCTGAACAGGGGAGAGGATAATAAAAGGACAGTGGGGAAATAATATTACCTAAAACCAATCCAGGAAGTCCAGCAATTACAAATTGTAACACAACTACAAGAAATAATCAAAAACGACATATTAAAACTAAATTAACCTCCTTGGCGGTAATCCTGAGTGTGGCTCGGGGTTAATTTTCAGTACCATAAGCGGTAACCCCGAGCCACACTCGGGATTACAGCATAGCGTTACTTACCTTGTCCCTCGAGCTGCGCTGTGTCCCCCGGCCGATGCCGGCATCCATCTTCCGGGTTCCGTCTCTTGCAAGCGTCGCAAGGGGGCGGAATCGGCGGGAATTTCAAAAGTAAAAATAACAACAATAACAACAAAACAAAGAAAAAAACGGAACAAAATAGAACAAAAAAAGGAAAAAATAATAATCAGACCGCCAGGGAGGTTAAAGGGCTTGTAAAGCGCAAAATGGGACTGCTCCACCAGGGTTAAAAAAACACAAATTTTTGTAAAAGAGTGCAGAGACTGATTGAAAAAAGTGATGTGGTGTGAGATCTGCAGGACGCTGCCCCAAACCAGCCAGGGGGACTGCAAAATCTGGGGAATGAAGATCTGATGAAGGGGGCGTGACTCCCGTAAACGCGTCATCACAGCCTACCCTGCTGGTACACAGGCTTGGCTGTGCAGCTGTCACTGGCTTTTACTTTGGTCCATGTATTCACACACAATGCTTCATTCATGTCGACCTTTGTGAGTATGATTCGCATCTATTATTGCTTTTATCTGAAATAAATCTGCACCAGGAAAGGCGCCCCTAACAGTGTAACTAGGTTTGATTTAAGTTAGAGGAAAGAGACATGTGGGTACCATGCCAAAAAACCCACCTTCAACAAGTTGCGCTCCTTGCTGTGCGATACTAAGGCCTGGTTCACACTGAGCGTATTGTCACAGCGGATTCAGCCTGACCAAAAGTTTCACAGAAAAAAATGTCCCTTTCATTCATATGGCCCCTGTACACACCTAAGTGTTTTGTCACAATAAGCAAAACGCTTGTCACCAGAAAAAGAACATGAGCTTCTTTTTGGCAGATCTTAGCTCATTGGCCCCATATTGTCAATAGAAAACGCTTAAAAAACTTTGTACCCACATTTTGTCCATTGACTTCAACGTATCACAATCTGCTTATAAATACACGTATAACTAATATAGGCGCATGTAAACGTGGAGGAAAACGTTTTTAAGCGTGAATACGTGAATCCGGCCTAAAGGGAAACAAAACTTCCTAACAAAGAGCACAGAGGAGAAGGGGGGTGTTTTAAGAGTATGTTAAATAAAAGCATTCACTGATAAATAACAAATACAAAAGAACAATCAAGTTTATGTGGCTCACTTTTGGACTTAAAAAGCAAAAATACAAAAGAAAAAAACTGCAAAAGAAAACCACTTTTGTAAAAAAAAAATTAAAAAAAATGATTTGGCATTTACAGTTGCTAGATAATCCATTGTATGTCCGTGTGAATGAGGCCTAATGCTGCAGGGAGACCTTTGTAACGCTAAGGCTGGTCACATGACATGCATCGCACGCTTTTTTCCATCCAGCTTTTTTTTTTTTTTTTTAATAGGTGGCCA